TTTAATAATGAAGTTTAATTTCATAAATAACCAAATTATTAATATTATTATGGAATTTTTAATAATAATCGTGTACACATCAGCATATGCAATTGGTTGTTTTCTGGACCACCAGTAACGTATTCGAGTATAAATACAACAGAAATTTCTGTTGTTTCTCCAGTACGATAAATAACATTGTTCAATAGTCAGACTGTTAACACAATTGTGTTTAAGCAAAAGGCATTAGAGGGTAAAAAATAAAAACAGCGATGTTATCTATTGAAAATTTTTTTATCGCATCAATACAAAACTTTAACGAAAAAGTAATTGATAAGTTTGCAGCAAAGAAGGAAAGGAGCATTGTATTACAGTTTAAAAAATGAAATAAAGCTTTTCTACTTAAACTGATATTTTACTTTACTTTTACTTTACTTTTTTTGCAGAACAGGCAAACATTTTTAGCACGGGCCGCCACTGCAATAGTCCTACTCCCTTTTTGAACATGTATATCCAAATCAGTTCAATAAAATAAATAATAAATTAAAATACAATTCTGCAAACAAAACGTAAACAACATTCCTTAAAAGATTCTCTTGATGGAATATCTAGGGTAGGGTGGATTAAAGGAAGAAGGGATGAAGGACGAAACTTACTATGTATTTAACAACGCGAATTTAAACGTTTTTAAAAGTTAACAGAGGATTTCGCATAAACATTTTCTATTTAACATTTTTCACTTTTTGTATGTCAAGTCTATTCGACGGTTTTTCATAATTGCAAATTTATTTATAATGTCCTCATAAAACTGGGGACCCTCACTTACACTTTGTAAAATTCATTTTTCTATAGCTATCGTTGACAAACCTGCAGGTTAGGCGCTCTTGTGTCATCGTATTTCTTAAATACGTTTTAATGCGTTTAAGACACAAAAAATTTCTCCGACACTGTCGGTAGAAAGAAATTTTCCGACACACTGGTTGCAGGAATAGTTAACACTAGGCATTTCGTTAAAAATGATTTTATATTCCTTGTATAATATCTCTAATATTTGTTGAACATTTAGTTTATGAAATTGTTCGTCTCTGTATATAACACTAAGTTCGTTTTTTAGCCGATCAATTTCAAAAACATTGGGATACATTTTTAATAAACATTCAAATGATTTATCGAGAAAATTTTTAGCATATTCCGTAAATTTTGAAGAGTACTAAATTGAAGAGAAATACTATAATTTCGTAGTACAACATTTTATAGCTCATTATCACTTTTCAGAAATTCGTTGGGCGGCAATTTTAATTTGATTAGAGCAGTAGTTTATATTTAGGATTTTAGTTTGCAGAATTTGGAAAAGTAAATCCGTGCATACAAAAATTTCGTAATAGATCTTGGTCAAAATAGCAAAGTCAAAGTCTTCAAAATGTTTTAGAAATCCCTTTACCGAATTTACCGATTCGAAAGTTTTGTCGTCAATTATACTTTGAAAAACTAACATTAAGTTGTCCAATTCAGTGGCAACTAAATTTAGAATTTTGGAACGGGTATACCAGCGCGTTTCGACAGAACGTGGTATTCTTTTTCCGACTATTTCATCAAGAACAAAGGCGCGCTTTGGTGTGTTATGAAAATAGGTTGGTATACCTAACAATGTACAAAAAAAATTCGACTTTTATCAATTTTTTTATTGCCTTGCTGCAGCACAAGGTTTAACCTATGTGCATAGCAAAGCAAACCCTGCATAAAATACCCTATAGAGACCCTGTTCAAACCGATAGATATTTGTATCGGAATGTATGGTGTTTCTATAGGGTTTATCGGTATGTATAGGATCCCTAGTTGGGATTTATGGTTGTTCTATAGGGATTTCCATCTTTGATTTATTTGCTATTGGTTTCAATGGGGAAAATACACATAATTGTAGAAATTAGTGTTTCCCCCATAGGACCCCATAGGTTTTAATAAAATTTTGTCAAATGTTTTATGGTTGTTCTATAGGGATATCCCTATATATCCTTCATTGAGGTATTTGCTATCGGTCTCAATAGGGAAAATGTAAAAGTTATGGTGTGCCTATTTTCTATTGGGCCGTATCCGGAAAAAACCATGGATAAATGCACATATTGATTTAGGTAGCGCCCGATAGATTATTTTATAGGTCTATATGGGGTATTTTAAGCAGGAAAGGGAGCAGAAGATTTAATCTTTGCCTGAAGTCCATTTAACTCGCCAGACATAACACTGGCCCCGTCATAACACTGAGCCACTAATTTTTCCATAAAATTATATGGCTCCAAAACATTTTCTAACAAATTATAAAGAGCATCTGCAGTTCGATTTTCGCTCATTTCGAAGAAACCTAGAAATCTTTCCTGCAGACACCGTTTTATGACGTATCGAATAGTTATGGCACATTGGGAACGCTCTGTTATATCTGTTGTATCATCTGCCATTACACCGAAAAAAACATTCTTTATCATTAACTTCATTTTGAATAAAACCTGTCAAATACTCATGAATACAAAAAATTAGGTCATTTTGTATTATTTTAGACTGCCCTGTAAAAATATTACTAAATTTTTCGTAGTGTTCTGTAAGGTCTGGATTACGTTTAATTAGGCATTTAAAAACCTCTTTAAAATTGCCGCGATTTGACGACTAGACTTTCATCATGTCCTCGAAACGGCAGTTCTTGTTTCCCCAACGCAAGTGTGACATCTATTAAATAACTAATTAATAATCTATTTTTACGGACATTTTCGTTGAATAAAATTAAGTTTAAACGGGCGTTTTCCCTTAAAGCATCCTGAATGGTCGCCCTATTTTGTTCTAACCGCACTACAGCCACAAAGTTTTTTATGTGCTCTTTAGAAGCCTCGTGCATTTTTGTACGATAAAATTTTTTTAAGTCTGTAAAACCATCTTTTGAGCACCAAGAATTTTTTGCTTTACCCAATAAAATACACGGCCAGCAATACAAACTTTGTTTATATGAACTCCCGCAAAGCCATTTGTAACTATCATACCATGAAGTTTGAAATGATCGCGAACATTCCCGACCCACCCTCTTTTCGCTCAAAACTGCCGTTATTTTTGGCGTTGGTCGACTCCAAAATTTGAGGTTTTTCCACAGGGGTGTGAAACTTAAGCGGGGGAATTGGAAACATGACTCCCGAACGATGCGTTGCCAGTTTGTACACAGATTACAGTAACCTGTACTGAAAAAAACTTAACGTAGGTACCACTTTTCCAAAACTCGGCAACGTAGTAAATGTAAAAGACATATTTAACTGTCAAAGCAAGTGAGTTTTTTAACATTTGTGTATTTTTATGTAGGTTTTTTAAATGTTTCCAAAATTTATGCAACTTGGGTTGTGTTTGATATTTTTTATATGTTTAACTTTGTAGGTAGGTACTAATATTTAAAGTTTTTTCAGCCAAGTAATAATTCGCTTTGTTTTGTTTCAAATTTACCAGTTTATTAGCCTAATGCTGGATTTATGCAGCACAAATTAATTATTATTTTTAATTAATTAATTAATTAATAAATTTTTATTAATTTAATTATTAATTATTAATAATCAGTTGGGTCTTAACTCTTGAAGTGGTAGGACGCTCTACGATAGCTAACGAGATCCCTCCTAAGCAGCGTATGCGATACAAACGTAGTAAAGTACCAAAAGCGAATCTAAGTATCCGGAAATATCGGTAATCGGTAATAAATAAATAAATAAATAAATAAATAAACAAGTGCAAAAAGTGCAACAAGTGCGAAAAGTTCGGGAGGACCCCGATTAACGCCGTAAAATAAAAAAAAATCAATATCGATTCTACACGTGATAACTGTCCCAAGTGCAAAATAGTGCAAATTGTGTTTGGTACCTACCCCTGGATTAAGTCCTCAAGTGTTGACCTGATTAAAAGGTGTGAGAGAGACGATCAGTTCCAATGAAAGTTTCCTGGGCTACCACACGTGCAGGCGGCATGCGATAAGGATCAATTTCAGCACACCTGCCTGGCAATTATCCCGAAGTCCAAGTCTTCATAAATTAGATAAGTAGCTACCAAAATAGCATGACCATATAATACCCAATAATATTAATACTAATTAATACGAAATACGCAACCTTTAACTAACAATAATTCTTCAGGTAAAATTAATTAGTCGCAAACAATTTCCAAGATTCTCATGCAAAAATGAAACATAGTAAAAAAACTATAAACACAAGGGCACATAAGAAGCCATTAATTACTCAAGTTACGATAAACATTAGGCAAAATAAACCATCTTAAAGAAATAAACATCTAGATTACTAAGACGTTAAGGGGATCATAAATTAGGTAAAAACCGTTCCAAGCGTAAATAAATAGCCGCACCGCACAGTGAGGCGCAAAGATGGACCCAACCCCAAGTGAATGGGGATCACGCACAGTGGGAAAAAAATAATAATTCGAGGCGGGAAAAACAGCTGCTTATGAAGTCGGTTCTCGGCATGAAGGGCTGAATTTCCACACAGTCAGAGGGCACTAATTACGTGCGGTCGGCAACACTTCGGTTCTGAAGATAAGACTCAATATCGCACAGGGGGGCAAACAATTCTAAAGCGGCAGGAACCGAAATCCGACTCGGACAGCGACGAAGAGGAAGTACACCATCAAGGAAAGGCGCTAGCAGCATACTTATCCACCCACCCCCATTCAGGAATACCAAATGAATGGGGTTATTACTAAAGCCCGGTTGAGGAGGATTCCGGATTGTACTTAGTTTTGGGTTAGTTCAATGTCCTCCAAAAACCCTTCCTAAACTGGACGTATAGCCCGACCCGGCTGACAAAAATCCGTGGAGCGGCCTTAACCATAGACACTGTCATCCACGACCTCCTAGGGTGGATCTACCAGCCGGCGTATAAACTTCGGATCCAACAAACACAGGTAATGCTGTGATTTTTCGGGATACGCAATAATCAGGTAATCATGAACAAGTAAAGAGAAAAAGATAGTCACCAACAAATTTTCAAGAGGCATCATATTTTTAAATATTGGTTTTGAATGTAAACCTTTATTTTTAACCAATTTTTGTTATTGAATAATTCCACATTTTTGGAGATAAGCTCAAGGCACTCAGATTTTTTTGGTGGACATTTCTTTTTTATATGATTTTTAAAATAATTGGTGACCATCTTTTTTTGATCACTTGTCCATGGAACAAGTGTTCTCTTCTTGGATTCTTTTTTTATTTTTGAATCTAAGTTAACCGTATTTTGGGGTTTTGATGTGCTGGGTTTTGGACTTTCATTTGCTTCATTAAATGACTTCTCTCTTGACTCTAAGTCATCTTCTGAAATATCCATTAAATTCTCTTCTAAATTTAAATCAATTTCATCAAGAGATTTGCCCTTAAAGTGTCCAGCTTCACCCTTTTCCATAAGAACAAGCAATTTTGATATTCTGGATGTCTGATAAATATCATCAGGAAGCCGATAAGACTGTCGATGAATACCTAAAGTGTGTCCCATAAATGAGGCCAGCTGCTCCATATCATTTTTAGACATATTAAACAATTGAGTTAAAGTTGCCAAATGTTTTCGTGATCGAGTACAAGTAAGTGCATCAGGGTTTTTGGCTCCACAAATTTTGGCATATTTTCTTAATACTTTATACCCAACTATTGGTTCGCATGATCTTGGATTTGCAAATAGATAATTATTGGGCTTTTTAAGAACATTATCCCTATACTTTAAGACCATCTCCAAGTGTTCTTGAACATCTCTGCTAATTAATATTGGCACACCTCTACCCCTCTTACCTCTTATTACAATACGTTTAAAACTGTTCATTAGATTTTTTTCTCATTCTGAAATAACTTCTCCAAATTCTTCATATGCTTGAGAATTTTCATTAAGGATTAAAGATTTGTAAGTATTTACCAAAAGTCTCTGTAACTCCCCTGGACGTCGCCTATTTAGTAGTATTATCCTGGAGTAGATGGTTTCCATCAAAATAATGTATGATTTTTCATCACTGGTGTTTTCTTTTAGTTTACAAAGAGCCATATTGGCTTTATTTATAAGGCAATCTTTTAATAATTTAAGGTCATTGGCGAAGGGTACCAAAGTGACTTTATTCCATTTTTGTATATTAAGATCACTGGAAGCTTGACTGGAAACATCAAATTTCCAGTTACTATTAATTAGCTGGATTAGAGTTTTAAGATCTGCTTCTTGGTTCGCTAAAGAAACTGTTGAAAGTTTTTGTGATTTTTTAAGAGTGTATACTAGTGCAATATCACAACACTGTTTTAAGGTAGTACCCATATTTAATGCAAACGTTGGAGCTTGATAAGTCTTAGATTCCGGATCATACCGAAAGACAACTTTAGTTGCAGAAACTAAAGTATCGTAATATTCAGGTTTCAGAACCTCATAAAGGCTGTTTATTGTTGGTTTTATTTTTTTTATTTCCAACAAGAGTCTGGCTAGTTCCCTCATTTTTCTAGAAGCCACAAGAATAAAATGGTTCTCCCTATGAATTTTTAAATATCTGGCTGCAAATGCGCATATTAGCGCATCCTTCTTAGCAACAAGAGATACCTTATCAGCTCTCATTCGAGGAAAAACATCGATTTTTAATTGAGGATCTACTTTCAAATTACGGATTAAAAAATTTTGTGCTTCAGACTTTGAATTTTTAGTAGAGGCTCCTTTATTTGAATTGGCATCGCATTTTTTGCGATGACGCCATAAGTTCTTTGATGAGTAATATCCTAGACAGTGTATGCATGGTAAATAATTTGTATTTTCATTTCCTGTTTTTACTGGTTTACTCAAGTTATCATTGCTTTTAAGGTAATTCCCTTTTTTTCTTAATGCAAAAAGTAAGTTTTTTCTTTCCTTAGATAGTTTCGGCAAAGATAATATTTTTTGTACATCTATTTCAGATTTATGATTTCTTGTTATATGTCTAGGAAAATTTAATACTTCCGTTTCACAATAGTAACAAAATACTTTTTTCGATTTTGAACTTGTAGACGCTTCAGTTTTTGAAATATTGTCGTTTATTTCAATATTTAGACATATATTTTCAGACGATATGGGACTATCAGGGGGAGTGCAGCAGATCATAGGGGAACTAAGGGATGTTTCCTATAAAATAAAAAAAACATTTTTCTTTAACAGTTCATTACTTACCAAACATGTGTCGAAATAAAAAAAAATATCATAATATATTAGTATATACAGTAATGATAATTAATACTTTTTGGCAATTCATTTTTGTGTTATACATCTTTATTAAAAATGGTTTGTTAAATAATTATATAATACTAACAGACTCATCATCACTTTCAGGAATATACTCTGGATCATCATTGGAATCCTTTGAAAAGGGAGATTCCGGATCAGACGGTAGAATTTTCTAAAACACAAACAAACGTTTGCGATGGTAGTATCTCAGCCATTCCACGATACTTGGGAATTTTTGTAGCGTCCGTTACAATCAAAAATTGTGATTAAAATCTACCGTACACAGAAAAAAAGGTTTAGTTAGCCCAACTATTATTTGTTTCATTTAACTAAATATGTTTTTTCAATAGAGCCAACCAAACATTTAGTTATTTTAACAACCGCATTTGGTTATATTTTACAACTATATATTTGGTTGAAACAAACATTTATATAGTTCAAGTGACCTTTACCTACCAGTCCAATGTACTAAATACATTTGGTTGAATTGACTAAATATAATTTGTTACCCCATGATACAACAAACCAAAGGTATGACATCTAGCGGTCCAAAACTCGTCCGCTTCGCGCAGTGACGTCAGTTCGAGAGTGATTTTAAATGAACATAGCGGAAACAAGTCATTTATTTACCCTTTTAGGTGAAAATAAGTATCAATTAGATACACAAATCATAAATACACATTCAATTTGCATCTTCAAGAGAAAATTATCATTAATGTAATATATTAATTGATATAATAGTAATTGGTATAGTATAGTATAGTATAGTAAAATAGTGCTGACTTTTATTTACACTTTTAAGTGAAAATTATATTATAAATTAATTACATTAAATAAATAATAAATAAATAATTTAATATATTTATGCTGTACTATTTAGATTTAAATATTATTTCAAATTACATTTTAGTGGTAGAACAAAATAATTTAATATGCATATTAATTACAAAATCTACAAATTATATGAAAGAGTAAATTTTTGGCATTATTTTGAACAATAATATTATTTATCTACTCCTACATTGATGGCGTTTTAGTCACGGGCTGAAGTTAGCAACAGTGGCTTTTGGGCATTTTAGTCACGGGCTGAAGTTACCCTTATTATAAATTAGGGAAAAGTGAGGTTAAATCCGTTAAAAGTTGACAGATGTCAAAATTTTAACAAACAAAATTGCAAGCTTCGCTCGTGTCTAATAAAACTCGTAACTAAAATGGCATTTATAAAACTTGATACATAATATACTATTTTGGGTATTATTTTGATGCATAAAATAATTGAAACAACAAATAAAAATAAATAAAAAAAAATATACCTATTAAGGCAGTGTTTATTTTTAAATTTACAGATAAAATTCCAGTAAGGTTTTTATATATTAATAAATTTATTTAAAAAAATACAATGGCTTTATGTGCAACAAAATTTAAAATAAAAAACACAATCTGGCTGAAAATATTGAAAAAAATCTTGTTTCGTTTTATTGTCTTTAGGAAACGTATTGTTACTAATACACCCAAACACAGTACACTTCATTATTAATCAAAAATAATAGAAAAAATCTCGTAAAAACTGAACGCACGTGTTGTAATTCAACGGTAATCTAGCGGCGAAATATATTCCAACTCTCTTTCTGACGTCATGACGTGTCACTAAGCCACGCCTCCCTGCGCGAAATCATACCTTTGGTTTGTTGTATCATGTTGTTACCCTAACTAGGTTAACGGCTTGGTACAACTTACCCATATCGTTTGGCGCATTTATATACCTAACAATAAAAATAAGATTTTGAAATGTTTGGAGTAGAAACATTTTTTTAAGCCATTTTCTTATATTCTTCAAGAAACAGGAAGTTCCTTCACCTCGCTAGAGATAATGTTTTAGTGCGTTCCACCAACTTAATAAAATACTTCAAGTATTGACAGCTGTTTTCACCTATTCAAGGTCTCTTTAGTATCGAACAACTTGTAGTGTCACACCAAAGCAAAGAAGTACCTCACCTTATACAGGGATGGTAATGTGCTCTTAGGCCGTTTATTAAATAAAGACAAATGCATTATGAGACGTGGGAGTGGTGGAGTGACGTAAGAGTAGTGGGGCAAGTCAGACCGCGCCGCGAGGCTACGATCATCGTCCGAGACGGGCCGCCCGACCGCAGAGTCTGCTCAACGCAGACAAGAGAATGTGTTGTAACTTACAACTTGTAAGTAAGAGGTAGTACGTTTGTTATAAATTAGGAAATATTATCTAATAAAAATGGTTTACACCCTTGAAGAAAAGATTCAATTTATAACGTGGCATTTAAATGGGATCTTAGATCGAGAAATTCAAAGATTATTTCCAAATATGTTCCCAAATAGACCCTTACCAGCAAGGGCAACAATTCAAAATGTTGTAAATAATTTGAACATTTGCTTTAAAATGTTTTTTCTTTACGTTTTTTAGAATACTTTTTTATTTGAGAATATTTGTTTTTTTATTACAAGAATATTATTGTTTATTTTCCACATTTCCTAAGAAATATTTGCAAGGAATTTTTGTTTCTGTAAACAAAATCATAATAAAATATTTACGTTGTTTTATAACAACCGACTCAGTCGTAATGAAACTGACACTAAATAGTGGCAAATCTCGAGACTCGAACATGTCGAGTGGGCGGGACCTGCCCGGCGGGTTACGCAGATAGTTAAAGAAGGGGAAGCAAAACATTGGCGTGTAATAGACCGTTTTGATTTAATTGTTTTAAAAATTTCTACTGCACGCTCATGACGGAGGGGAATCACGTTTGTTAACCAGTCGATGGTTGTTAATCTCACTCTTTCGTACGTTTTATATTGCATGCATCTTTGTCACAATTTGGCCTAAATGTGCATTATTACCACTGTATACTCTTCATGTAAGTCAACAGAGGCGAGATTTAAGAACATCACGCCGCCTTTGCCGCGATCGGTACATACTATGCAACCAGGAATGCACTGCAAATGTTTTAATTATTTTAACAGAGTGCTTAAGGTTGAAGTAACTCTTATTTTACAAACAACATATTTAGTAAACTGAACCATACAATTTAACCAATTTAGAAAAATAAAATGACTATCTGGTTTAGTACCGTCCAACTAATCTTTGTTTATATTAACCTTCCCACGGTTGATTTAAATAAATATGGGTCAACTAAATTAATATAGTTAAATTAACCATTCCTTTTTTTCTGTGTAATTAAATTAAATACTGTTACAATAGTAAATATTAGTGTCCGACCGAAGCTTCGGCTTCGGCTTCGGCCACCTTCGGCCAAAAAACCACATTCGGTCGCACATTCGGCTTCGACCAAAATCAGCCGAAGGATTTGCCGAATCCGAAGGTTTGTGTCCAGCCGCCGGCTTACGAATGAGGCGGACTTCAGCGCAGCTAAGTTATAATTATTGGATATGTCCTATTTATATTTTAACAATATACTAAACGCAATAACACTTTACTATTTATATTGTTATATAATTTTTTTTAGTTTAGTCAAGTCAATTTTTTTTAAGTCTTATTAAACCTTCGGCTTCGGCTTCGGCCGAAGGTTACAACAAGAGCCGAACCTTCGGCTTCGGCTTAGTAAATATTGCAAACATGTTTATTATTAGCATATATGCTTGTAATAATAATTACGCTTAAACTTATAGTTTTACTCACAATTTTTTATTGTAACGGACGCTACAAAAATTCCCGAGTAGCGTGGAATGGCTGATCTATAGATCTTTATAAAGAAAAATATATTAAGAATATTAAATATACTTACGTCATGAAAATCCTTTTCAAAAGAGGAAATACGATAGTCTTGAATGGCATTTTCACTTTGCATATTATGTGATAATCCAACTGTTTCATACTAAAAATTAAATAAAACAAATTATTGCAATTTTTCTTTAAAAATTAATAGTTAGGTACATTGATAAAATCATTTTTAGTCACATCTTGTGAAACGGCACTTTTAAAAGCTGGGGTTTTTAAAATATTGTAATTTATTTCCGACGATAAGGGACTATCAGGGGGAGTGCAGCAGATCATAGGTGAACTCAGGGATATTTCCTATAAAATAAATATTGATTTAAAATTAATAAATAGAAATAGAAAATATCATAAAACCAGTAATAATAACATTTCATAAATAGTAATTTTTGTTAATATTTGTTAATTAATTTTTGTTTATTGGCTTGGACTGATTAAACTTGTTATTTGAAATATTAGGAAAATAGTTCAATAATTATAATACCAATACTAATACTAATAGTTCTATTAGTATAATACTAACTGACTCATTATCACTTTCAGGAATCCAGATTGGACTATCATTGGAATTCTTTAATATTACAGATTCTGAATCAGATGGTACAATTTTCTAAAACAATATACGTTTGTAACGGTAGCATATAAATAAAAAACATATTTAGGATATGTTAACTTTTTGCGTCATAAAAATCTTTCTCAAAACATGTGGGTTTAATATAACATGTTTTACTTTGCATATCATGGGATTATCCCATTAAAAAAAAATGGTTACTTACATTGTTTTGAGCCAAATCTTGTTGTTCATCGAGCGGCTTGTTACAAAACCATCTATCTTTTTTCATAATGGAATTTGAATACTATAAAAAAGCTAATTAAAATGAGTTATATTAAAAACGGAACAATATTAACATATTCTGGAGGGAAGCTGTATAACTTTTTTTTAATTAAATTATTAAATTTTTAAATTCCTTAGCTATCTTGAAATGAGATTATAATAATAATTACGGATTTAGCGTTATAAATTTGCAAAATTCAAAACATACTCTAACGCACTAAAAATTATAAAATAATGTAATTTACTTACTTAAAATATGTGCTATTAATAAAACTCTTAATGTTCAATGACCATGCCAGGCGTAGGTAAGCCCTCGTTTTTGGCATAATCAGTGAACATTAAGTAGTGAGAAGTTTATTTATAGCAAATATTTTAATTAAATTACATTATTTTATACTTTTTAATGCGTTAAAGCAGGAGTTTCCAAAGTGTGCTCAGCGGAGCAAGCCTAGGGGCGCCGCGAGGATCCCCTCTTCCCTCCCCTTACTTATAAAAGCAAAATTATATTCGCTGAAAATTATTTGAACTAAACTGCAGTATGCATTTCTGTATCTGATTAACGCCAATTTTGCAACTGCGGACTGAACTGTACGTAATTTTTCCCATTTGGGAAACGTTAATATAAACCTTTTAAATATGAGGCATTTAACAAGTTTGTAGTTTTTTAGTAAAATAGAATTAAATTACGTATACTGCTTGACAAACCCGCCATATTGGATTTAGTATGACGACACTTACCTTATCGTTTTCTAATAGTCAAACCCTTTCAAGTATTAAAATCAAAGAAGTTGGTAAAGAAAATGAAAATCCTCTATCTTGTAGAGGCGGCCATTTAAACAATTAAGTATATTGTGTTTACCACCGGCATAAAAAAGTATGCAAAATTTTAGCTTAATCGGTTGACTAGAAATGGGTTAAAATCTAATTCCTGGATTTTTTTACCTACATACAAGTAAAGCTAATATATAAAGCGTTTAAAAATGCCCAACCCTTAAAAACAAACACACAAACGACTTACATGCATCATTCTCAAACTTCTCCAATAAACTCAAACACGTTTAAAAGAAGTATCCAATTATACGCATTATGTCAACTCAGCACACAAAAATAATAATAAAATAAACACAAACAGTTTAAATATATTTCATAATATAAATGACATAATTTGTAAAAACTAACACCACCTTACGTTATTCCAACATGACTAGACAAGACATATATCTGGACAAAACTAAGGAAAAAAGCCCGCCAAGACGTATGATAATTAAAAATCAAATAATGAGACATATGACAACAACGCCGGTTAACGTATCCACTGCAATATGTATTATACTGGATATTGCTGGAAGACCGATATCGGACAAATGTCCAAGGTGTATACGCTAGGAGGACCAACTGACTGTAACTGTAGACTTGACCATCGCAAATTGTATGCAGTTATAAAAAAAATAAAAATAATATTTTTGCTTGACATGATATTGTAGATGTCTAATATTACATATACCTTACAAAAATAAATATATTCGCAGTGATTCTGGGAGAAGACATACCGCTGGATTTCGTATGGAGGACCTAAGCACTTTAAGACAGGGTGTCCCAGAACTCGCGCCACATAGAAAACCGGAACGTGCCGAAAGTAACGTGAAACACATAATTTTATTTGAAAATTAAAATTGTCCAACGCAAAGGATAAGCGAGATAAGAATAAAAAACGATAGCCAATCCCAATAGATGGCCATAGGGAATTCTTTAAATTGCTAGGATACTTAGGTTGCATTGTTGATAATAAAAAATATGTAAAATATTTGGTCCACTGGAATCCAATTCATTGTGACACTGCTGTCAAACTCCTGTCATTAATATTATATTAGGTTATAAATTAAGTTACCTATTATAAATAATGTTTTCCTTAGATGATTATACTGAAATGATAATTATTTATTTATTTAGTGTGGGCGCAACGCCAGGGAGACAACGCGAGTTTTTTCCCAGCCCTTTCCTAATCGTTATTTTAAAACATTGGCGTTCTGAAGTATAAGTCATAGATTAATAACCTCATTTTTGAAAGCTTTTGACAACTTAGTAAAACAGTTGGCCAAAAGATTTTTAAATGTTTTTAATACAACAATGTTCTATCGTCTCCTAGCAATTTTTAAAGCTCTTACGTTTAACCTAGGCGAGAGCTCTCGGTATTGGCTGCCGCTTTTTTGCTCTCATTCGATTACACTATTACCTAGAAATTTTTAATTTTTAAATTTGGCATCTCCATTGCTATCGGCACGCCCCCTTTTTCTCTGTGGCGCGAGTTCTGGGACACCCTGTATATATATATATATATATATATAGCTTTCATCCAATACGAAGCCCACTAAATATTACAGGCAAAGCGAAGCCTGGGTTAAGAGGCAAGGGGTTTCGGTATTTTATTTAAATATTTAGAGATTATGTAAAAATCATCGGTCACTGCACAAGCTCAAAGACGGCTGGCGGTTGTTAAGAAGCCCGGCGGTGTTGCCGTCACTTATGCTGTGATAAAAGCGTTTATGAAATACGGAATTTGATCTGCTGTTGCAGATGTTCATATATAGTTAATGCAGGGCAATAGGAGAAATTTAAAATACCAATCAGTTATGTTAGGATAATTTTTTGCAAACAAACATGTTTAAATGCTCTATTACATTAAAATAATAAAACAATGTAAAAATACTTATAGTAATAATATGCGTAATTTTTAGGTTTTTTTAAATTATAATAATCATTTTTTAATAGAAATAAATTTAAAATTAGATAAATATTAATTCGGAATTTAAAAAACCTAAAAAATTATAATTTTACCGTTTTTTTATCCACCTTACTCGAAAAATACAGTAAAATGCCAACTGACAGTACCACGTCATTTAAACGTAATTTTTTCGGCACCCGATTCGTCATTTTCACCATGCACCATGACGTATTATTGACGTTTGGGCGACGGTAAAATGTCACAGCCCTCCGACGTCATTTTGGTACGTCTTTTTGACGTGTTCAGTTAACGTATAATGACGATACTTTGTACATACCAGTGACGTTACTTTGTACGTACCAGTGACGTTACTTTGTACGTACCAGTTAGACGTAAAAAAACGTCCCCCTTAACGTGGTTAAGACAATTCTTAAAGACATCTTTAATAGGTCTTTAAGGTACAAAATTGACGTGTTTTGGTTAATGAATAATTTCTCAAAAATAGTGCTGTTTAACATTAAATGTTAAATTTTATAAAAGCTTTTGCTAAAAGTTCTTACAAGCAGAAGCGGTATAGTCAGTAATTTTGCCTTAGTAAGAAATTCTTACTTAGCAGCTTAAGGCATTCCACGTTTATAGGACTATCTATTGTGCTACAAAGGCGAGAGGTATGCATGGGTTGCGTACATATTGGCGAATTTTGAAACATTTTGATGACGTCGCGTATTCGTCTGATTCTTGTATGAAATAAGTGGTCAGTGGCGAGAAATATACGTAGAGATGTAAAAAACGGTTTTGTGAAAAAAAAACATGAAAAAACCCTAAAAAAACCGTTTTTTTTAAATCCGCTACAATAAAGCATATTCTGTCAATTTATAACATCAATATTAAAAAAATATATATTATATTATATATTAATAATTTTTCAAAATGAAATTTTGGGTAAAATGTATATTAATAATAAAGTGAAATGTAGAATATATTACATTTTTCATTATTGAAAATTTTGACCTAGACTAAAAAAATCTGATTTCTTATTTGGTAGTTTCCACATAAGAAACCAATAGCAATGTAAAACTTACACTGATAAAAAAAATTAAAGGATAAAAATTTTTTTTTGCGATTTTTTGGATAGCTGTATCTTCGTTAAAAATGGTCGTATTGGAGTCGTAAAAAAAGCAATTTGAAGCTTGAAGTTTCTAGTTTTTAGATGAAAAACGTGCAACGCTCAATCCTGGTATATACCGGTATACCGTAATAAAAAAATTCGAAATTTTTTTGGCTTTCTCTTTTGGTCCACGGAACGTTCCGACTCAACCACCAATGAATAAATGTTCTACAAAAATTTGCAATTGTTTTTTTTTTAACATGAATTTGAAAAATCGTGAAAAAAGTGCTTTTGGTAGCTTTTTGTAAAATCAAGCGCTGAATCAAAAATATTATAGGTAGTTACTTTTTTTTAGGACCAAATCAAAACAAGCGCGGCCCCTATTGGTCAATTCGGTGGTGGTGGCGCGTGCAAAGCGCGAGACTGTATTTACATTTACTAAATGTCATTTAGTGGCTAATTTTAGTCCATGAACTGGACTGGAAACATAAAAAATTAGGCAAATGGGACTAATCTTCAAAAAAAACCTAAAATATGAAAACAAAAACATTTAAAAAACAATGAAAAAAAAACAAACAAAAGCGGACCGCATGTCTAAATATACGTAATTTTTACATTTTATTTTGACGTTTATTTTTACGTCTTAAACGTCGTTCGTCATTTTCTGTTTGCTGGGTACATATTTCGTCTAAATTTTACGTGTATCAAACGTATTTTTAAAACTTCTCAGAATTCCTGTGGTAAGTACCTTCTTGATTTCGACTGAAAGAACTGTATGGGAAGTTTTTTTTATGTTTATGTAATGTACAGGGTGTCCCACAATTAGTGCGACAAAATGAAGGTGTATTATCTAAAGACCCCCAGGAATTCCAGAAAATTGTTTAAAAAATTATTTCTTAAGATACAGGGGAGTCATATTTTCTTTATATGGCAACATTACCTCATAACAAAGTAATAGTTTAATTCTTAATCATCATGACAACAAACAACAATGTTAGAAAATGCCAAATTTAAATGTCAAAATTTGTTACTTTAAGTTATAGGTTATTTATTTTACGTCAGACAGGGACTCCCTGTATTTTTTTCTATTCAGTCTGACGTAAAATAAATAACCTCTAACTTAAAGTAACAAATTTTGACATTTAAATTTGGCATTTTCTAACATTGTTGTTTGTTG